TTTTTTTTTTTTTATTGTAGTTGTCATTGTTGTTTGGCAGGCCAGGGCCAGGTTCAAACCTACCAGCTCCAGTGTATGTGGTAGTGCCCTAGCTGCTGAGCTACAGGCATCGAGCCTCATCAGTTTCAACAATGCTTTGATGGATGGGTGAGCAAACATTTAGGAAGAGGGGGTTGGTAGGAAGGGCTGGACTTCCACCTCTCATGCACCAGGGGCGGTCAGGGGTGGGCACCATGAAGGCCTGCAGGAAGCCTGTATAGCCCCAGCGGTGGCTCTTCACTGGGCACAGATGTTGCTGTTCCTTGGGAACACCAGTGTCACTAGCATCCCAGCCCAAGGCCTCCTGGCTCTGCCCCAAAGACAGTGGGATCCATGTTCCTCAGGATGATCTCAGGGTCTGTTCATCTCACCACCATGCAGCTTGCAGGAATTGATTTATGAGGAATGTTCACAATTTGTTTCAAAATCACAACTGAAATTGGCCCCCCGAGCTCCATCAGGCAATCCTGGCCCCCAATCCCAGTGCCAAGCCTGACTGCAGCTCGCTAATCTTGCGTTGCCCCCACCCCACCCCGTTACCAGCTTGTGTCCCGTGGGAACAGCCCCATGGTACTGGGCCTGAATGCAGACGTAACCATCGAAGAAGGAACAGGGCAGGAACCATGGGGGCCGCAGGTCTGCAGGCAGCACCTTTAGCACCAGCGTAGCGGTGGCCGTGTGGCTGGGCTCTGCACTCTCCTCTGTAGTGTCCTGTAATAGCCCGCCCTGCCAACTCAGGGCTTGGAGCAGCTTGGAGGGGCCTTGAGTGCCCAGGACTCAGGGCCACAATGACCTCCTCACCGGCCCAGGACTCAGGGCCAGAATGACCTGCTCACCCGCACCAGCAGCTGGAAGGTCATGTTCGGCAACCTGTAGAAGTCCAGGGGCCGGTCCAGTCTCAGAGCTGGGCGGTTTGCACCCACCAGGGAGAAGAAGTCACTGGCACCCTAGAGAGGATAAGGACAAGCACAACCTAAAACCCTGTAAGGAGGAGCAACTTCACATTCAGAGGGCAGTGCTGGGGAGGGTGGGCAGCGCTGACCGGGGTCACTTCCTGAAGGGTATAGAACAAGATGTCATCTTTGTCTGGGTCCTTAGCCTCCAGCTCTGTCTCAGGGATGACAGTAGAGTTCACTTTAGTGTCCTGGGGGTGAAAAGGGGTTTGGTCCAGTTGCATGGACCCTCCTTGAAGTCAAGGTCCCCAGCCACTAGCCCATTCGCAGGCGCCCATGCCCACCTCCTCCACAGCCTTCTCCTTGGTTGTGAAGGGGAACACTGGGGAGTTGTCATTGACGTCCAGCACTGCCACGAACACCCTCAGCTGGGTCACCTGGGGAGGGGGTCATCAGCTAGTCCATACATCCATTCAGCATATGTTGGTGAGGGCTTATGGTATATCTAACTGCATGGTTGTAGGTGGTGGGACACAGGGATGGGAAGAGACTAGCCTATGCTGGCAGAAGTTACAATTAACAGGAAGTAATTTAATTCATAAAGTTTACCAGAGGCAGCCGGGGTGCTGGGGAAAAAAATAGGACAGATACTGTCTGGGAACACAACCAACAAAATCTCCAATGAGGAAAACTGCAAAACAATTGAGTTTCCTCAAAAATAAATCTCCAGGGCAGCGCCTGTGGCTCAAAGGAGTAGGGCACTGGCCCCATATGCCGGAGGTAGCAGGTTGAAACCCAGCCCTGGCCAAAAACTGCAAATAAATAAATAAATAAATCTCCAAAGGCTGGTCACAGTGGCTCACACCTATAATCCAAGCACTCTGGGAGGCTGAAGTGGGTGAATTGCTTGAGCTCAGGAGTTTGAGACCAGCCTTCGCAAGAGAGAGACTCCATCTCCAGAAATGAATAAATCTCCAAGAAAGGAATAACAGAGGAGAATTTATAGATTAAAAGAAACGTAAGTCAGGTACAGTGGCTCACACTTGTAATCCTTGTACTCTGGAAGGCTGAGGCAGGAGGATTGCTTGAGCTCAGGAGTTCAAGACTTGTCTGAGCAAGAGTGAGATCCCATCTCCACAAAAAGTAAAAACCCAGCCGGTGTCAGGGTGCTTGCCTGTAATCCCAGCAACTCAGGAGGCTAAGGCAGCAGGATGCCCACGAGTATGAGGTTGCAGTGAACTATGATGACACCACTGCACTCTACTCAGGGAATAAGGTCAGACCCTGTCTCAACAAAAAAATCAAGGTAAAAGAAACATAAGAAGCCAGGCTGGGCAGGGAGGGGCTCATGCCTATAATCCCAGCACTTTGAGAGGCAGCACCAGAGGTGGGAGGGTCACTTGAGCTCAGGAGTTCAAGACCAGCCTGGACAATATAGCAAGACCCTGTCTCTAAATAAATTTTTTTTAATTAGCTGAGCATGATGGCACATGCCTGTAGTCCCAGCTACTCAGGATGCTGAGGCAGAAGGATTACTTGAGCCCAAGAGTTGAAGGCTGCAGTGAACTGTGATCATGCCTCTGCACTCCAGCTTAGTAACAGTGACACCCTGTCTCAAGAAAAAGAAAGAAGGAAAGCGGGAGGGAAGGAAGGATGGAAGGAAAGGAGAGATGGAGGAAGGAAAGAAGGAAAGGAGGGATGGAGGAAGGAAAAGAGGGAGGGGGGTGGAAGGAAGGAAACGTAAGAGAAATATCAACCAGTTGGGCTTGGCACCCATAGCTCAGTGGTTAGGGCGTCAGCCACATGTACCAGGGCTGGCAGGTTCGCACCTGGCCACGGCCTGCTAAACAATGACAACTACAGCAAAAAAAAAATAGCTGGGTGTTGTGGCAGGTGCCTGTGGACCCAGCTACTTGGGAGGCTGAGGCAAGAGAATCGCTTAAGCCCAAGAGTTTGAGGTAGCTGTGAGCTGTGATGCTATAGCACTCTACCGAGGGCAACATAGTGAGAATGTCTCCAAAAAGAAAAAGAAATATCAACCAGTTGCATTATGTGGGCCTTGCTTGGATCTTGATTCAAACAAAAAATTGTAAAAGACCTTCTGAGACCACAGGGAGGACAGGCAATTGCTGGATGTGTGGCAGTGACTCTGAGTCACTGCAGTTCTCAGGCGTGACAGCTGGTACCACAGCTATGTTTAAAAAAGAAGGGTCCTTGTATTTTAAAGACATGTCCTGAGGCACTTATGGGTAATGTGCTGCCACTCTGGGTGGGTATGGGCTTGCGCTCTCTTCTGCAACTTTACTAAATAAAATGCTAGAAAATAAAGTAGGTTGGGGTGGGCTGCATGGAGAGGGGCTGACACAGCAGCTTCCAGCAGGGTGGCTGGGAGATCCCCTGACGGGGAGCCCAGAGCTGAGTGGGGCTGAGGAGTTCTCACACTGCTCCAGGCCAAGGGGCAGGGCTGTGGGCAGGGGCGTTGGCAGTGGATTCAGCTTTGAGGAAAGAGTGCAGGAGGTTTCAGGCAGAGCAGGGCTTGAGAGGCCCACAGGGACTGCTGTGCCTTGGGGAGAACAGACTGAGGTGAGCAGGGCAAAGGGCAGCAGGTGGACTGGTGGAAAGTTTTCAGAAAGAAGTGTGGGTGCTGACAGTCTAGTGGGGGGTGGAGGTGGGAGAAGGGGGGCAATTCTGGGTCTGGCCCAGGAAGGAAAGGCAAGACTCAAGGTCCCAGTAACCGGCAGGCGGTGTAGGGGAGCAGTGGGGACCTTGGAGCTTCTCTGGGTAGGGTATCTGCTGGACAGATGTCAGGGATGGGGAGTACATGGGGTTCCTGTGTCTGAAGCTCAAGACAGACTCTGGCTGGAGGAAGTGTGGGTGTCCTCAGTGGAGGGGTGACATTTAAAAGCACACCTGGCTGAGGTCACCAAGGAGTGACCTTGGACAGGCAGAAGAGAGCCCAGCTGAACCCCAGCAATGGAGTGGGAGAGGGATGGGGGCGGGACTCACCAGCGTGCCCCCCCTCATGCACTCCAGGTGGGCCTGCAGCAACACGTTCTCCTGCAGAGGCAGAGGGGCCTCGGGAATTGGGAATTCCCTGCCCAGCACCCACACCCACTGTCCCCATTTCACAGTGGGAAGACTGGGGTCAAGACGGGCAGGTGATGACCCAGGGTCCCCATCCTCTCATTGGTGGTCGCTCTGAGGGCATGGGCCCTGGTAGCCAAACAGACCCACCCCACCTCTCAGGGCCTGAGAGGGGTCAGTGGCTGCCTGAGGAGCACAGAGCTCTCAGGCCCTTCCAGGGAAAGTGTGACCCTAAGATCCCCAGGGAACCCCACTCCAGAAGAGGGCGTGGGTGCCTGCCTGTGTCCCGTGGGGCACACCCCAGCCAGCCTGCAGCCCACCTCGTAATCAGGAATCACATTGAGAAACAGCTGGCTCCCCTGGATCCGAAATGCAAAAGCGGTGGATGAGGGTCCAAGGACCACCTGCTGGCCCTCTGGGACATAGATGTCAGCCAGGGGCTCAGTGAGATTTGTGTTCTCCTCAACCTCGAAGAAGGTGTTGCTCACAGAGCAGACTGTGAAGTTGGAGAGGAGGGGTCAGTGCCCCAGCCCCAGCCACCCAGCCCTGCCCACCCCTACCCAGCACATACCCTGGGCCGTGGCACCCGGGGGTCGACCAAGCAGACCCAGGAGCAGCAGGGGTGGCCATAACCAGGCCCAAGCCCCCATCTTGGCAGCTGGCTCCTGGCGGGAGGGTTCTAGCTGGTCTGGCCTCCAGGACTGGCAAAGTTCCTGCCGCAGGGACCTTTGTCCCTGCCAGGCACCGCCCAATTTATGATCTTTATGACCAGCCTCCACCAAGGGGACTCCCGCCGGCCGGCTCAGTCCAGCTGCAGCAGCCAGAGAACATGAAGTGGCCATTTGTCCCAAGCTGGGCCATGTGTGGGGTCTGCTGGGGACTCAGCCCACAGGCACCAAAGTGGCAAGTGGCTAAGGCTGGCCATGGCCTGGGAACTGGGGTGGTAAAAGCTAGGGGTGGGTGCAGACTGGGGAGAGGCAGAGGGCTAGGGAAAGAAGGCGAGTGCTGGGCTCAGCCCTGTGTCTGGGTTTTCCATCCCAAATCCAGGCTGCCCTCTGCTTAGCTCTTCCTCTAGAATCTCCTTTATACAAAGTCCCTAAGGCTACCCCTTGCAGCTCTGACATCAGAGGCTCCCTTCCAGGCCCACTCCCCTTCCTTGTACTGCTTATCCAGCTCCCAAGAGAAAAGGCCCTTTTCTCTGTGTCCTGGGGACACCCCTGCCTGTCCTCTGGGTGGAGCTGGGCAGGGCCCCTGTGATAGAGATGGCAGGGCTGTGAGGGGCAGCTGGAGGATCTTGGAGGGCCCCATGCCCAACAGAGAGGGGGAGTCCAGTGCAGCTCCCCACCTGCCCTGCCCCTTTCTTTGGCACCCAAATCCCCCACCCCCAGCAGCTGGGGAGAGGCCATGGGGTGGCACGGGGGTGGGATGGGGTGGGTAGGGTGGAGTGGGGGGGGAGGGGCCACCTGATGGGGCAGTGGGACCCCTTTGCACCTGAGGCTCCTGGCCTTCCTCTGCTGGCGCTGAGCTACACTGCTCCACTCCCTGACCCTGTGCCACAAGGTCTCCTGTACCACCCCCACTTGGAGTCATCTGTGTCCCTCCTCCACAGACTCTGAATGGCCAAACCCCTGGTCTCAGACCACACAGGCTGACAAGTTGGTGCTAAGATTTACAGTCTACAGTCCTTACTCTGGAGTAGACTCCTGGCATCCTTGAGGACACCCCCACCTGCAACCACTCCCCCTCTCACCTGAGCCCTGTCATCACACTCTCCCCATCACCACCTCCATAAACGCTGACCATGTGGCCCCTGGGGCAGGAGTCAGGGTGTCCTGAGCCTCTGATATTTGCTAAGTGGATGACAAGGGCCAGGGCGGGAGCAGGGGAGCTCAGCCGGGACAGGAGGTGTCCCTTATGCCAAAGATAAGGGTGAGGCGCCTGACTGGCCCCCAGTTTAAAGGGCAGCTGGGTGTGGTCACAGCCCTTCCATGGGATAGGCAGGGCCTTCTTGCCTTCTTCACCTGACAGCCCCACTGAGCAAGGGCTGCCTCCACAGCAGAGGAGGGACACACCACGGCTCACCATAGCAGAGGAGGGACAACCAGACTCAGGGGGCCAGGGTCTGAATTCTTCCTTTATTGATGCCAAGTATAAGTTCCCTCCCCCATCTTCTCTCCCCTTTCCGAGCGAGCTCGTTGACCAGATCCAGTGGTGAGGAGGATCCTTCCCCCTCAGGGCCTTATCAGGGCCGCAGGGTTCCTTTAGCAGTGGCAGCTGCTGGTTCTGAAATCATAACCCCAGACCTGGGCCCAGGGAGCAGCCAGGGAGACCAGGTCCGATACAGGGGGGCTCTCAGGGGCGTCCTGCAGAGACAGGCAGCTCAGGGGCTGGGGGCCTGGAGCTGGTGACCCCACCCAGCTGGTGAAAGTGGGCCTTCTCTGGTCACCAGCGATATCCCTGGGGCCCCAGGATATGGAAGGGGGATGGGGGAGCTAGCGGGGTGCTCACCAGGGCAGCAGAGCGGGCGCTCGGGACCACAGCAGGCAGAAATGGCCCTCTATGGGCTTGGACCCGGCTGTGCTGTTTTCTCTGTCCTGCTCGCTGCCCCACACACCCAACAAATTAGAGAATTAGTCCTGGAGCTGGAGGTCTAACATCCAGCCTGCCCACCTCATTGGGCCCCGCACGTGTCCCCCTCGGCTCCGCCCACACCTGCCGCCCTCACCTGCGCTTGCCCACCAGGCCCTTGAGCAGCCGCTGCAGCCGCGCGCTTTCCCGTAGGCGGCTGAGCTCGCTGGTGAACGTCCCGTCCGAGTGTCGTCGGGCCCTGGGTGGTTGGCGGACCAGGCGGGGTCAGGGCCACGCCGGGGGTGGGGGGCGCGGACAGTTCTGGGCCAGGGTGGGGTCGGCCGGAAGAACCGACGCGGGTCCAGGGACGCGGGCTCACCTGGGGGGCGCGGGGCGCGCAGCGGCGGCCCCGAGGAAGAGCAGCAGCAGCAGCAGCAGCAGCAGCAGCAGCGCCCGGGAGGACATGGCGGGGCGCGGTGCCGAGAGCTCGCAGCCTCAGCCGCAGCCGAGACCCGAGCCCCGTTTATAGCGGCGCCCGGGAAGGGGGGCGAGCGGGAGTCGCTCAGCACCGCCCTGGCTCCAGGCGGCCCGGCCGCGCCGCAGCATCGATCTCGGGAAGGTCAGGGCCGCCCCTCCAGCTGTCGCCCTGGCGGCCGCCCGCTCCCACCGCCACGGCGGCGCCCCTCGGGCCGGGGAGGGGTAGGGGCTCGGCCGGGCGCGGACCGGCGGGCCCTCTGCGGCAGCGGGGACACCGCCGCCCACTGGAGCTCAGGAAGGGCTCTGGAGCGAAGAGCGACGGCCCGGCCAGGGTGACAGGTGCAGAGAGCCTTGACCGAGTCCGCTGGAGAGGACAGACCCAGGGCCAGACCTGTTCTCTTGATTAATGAGAGATTTGTAAACTTCTGAATAGTCTCTTCAATATTTCAAGCTTTCCAGGAAACTGCAGCAAAAGATATAAAAACTGGCCTCGTGTGGACTCAAGCCCCACTCGCCTGCCCCTGCCCTGCGGCATGGAGCCAAGGTCACACGTCCCCACGTCCTCTGGCCAAGGTTCCGGGCAGGATTGGGACTCCTTCCTCAGGACTCTTCTCAGAGTCCTCACCCTTTATTGAGCCTCAGCTGAGGCTCTGCAGCTTTGGTCACCACACACGTTCTCTCTCATCTTGCCCCCTGGGTGAATGTTATTTTCAATCATCACTTCTTTTGAAGTACAGTTCTATGAAGTTTTTTTTGTTGTTGTTGTTTTTTGAGACAGAGCCTCAAGCTGTCCCCCTGGGTAGAGTGCCGTGGCATTACAGCTCACAGCATCCTCCAACTCCTGGGCTCAAGCGAGTCTC